AAATTAATTTAGTATTGGACATATGGTTTTAAAATCGACTTGAAGAATATGCTTATTATTTGCCTATAGAGTAATAGTGACTGAGCCCGATGAGCCACGTCTTTGCACTTTCTGAATTTTACTGAGGCCGTGTTCTAAATGTAAGCCTTTTGTTAACACATCTACTGTACTAGAACCAACAGTGAAAGAAGACAGTCTGTCAGTATCATTTTGTCCCTGTGAATACAAAAAATTAATAAAAAAATCAAATAGTCACAACAAACAAAGCATAGACAGATGATAGCTGTGTATTGGGAAGAAAGAAAACTGGATTCTGTTTAATTGGAGGTATGTAAAAATTACATTGAGCTTTTTTGAGTGTGCTTGTGTTTTGTTGAGATAGCAGATAATACTTTTACTTGACATTTTTTTTAACATACGATGACTTGAAGATTTGTAAACTTAATGTTTGTTTACTTATTTTTCATGTTTATTATCATAAATGATCATTTTGTTCCATGTCAAGCCTTCTTGTCAAAGCCTGATCTCGTTATATCTCAGAACCAAAACAGGCTTGGGCTTGGTCCAGGTGCCACAGTGGAGCCCCAGTGGCAAATACTGTCATAGTGTCCAGAGGCAAGACACTTCACCCACATTGTCTCGTATGAATGTGGTATGCGCGTGAGTGATGTTGATGGTCGGAGGGGCCGATGGTGCTGATTGGCAGCCTTGTTTCTGTCACTCTGCACCAAGGCAGCTGTGGCTACAACAGTAGCTTACCATCACCGAGTGTGGAATGAATCACTAATGTACCAAATTGTAAAGTGACTTTTAGTGTCTTGAAAAGCACTATATAAGAATAATACATTTTTATTATTAAATCTTGTGGTTTTATTGCACAATGAAACATCAGATTTCTCTTAGTTTCCCTTTGTTACCATCCTGTTCATACTACCTGTTACTTGTGCTGTGAGCCATGACAACACACTCAAGGCTAGGTTACATGCACTTCTGTGCTGCAGTAGCCCCACTAAAATCTCCCATCTGCCCAACATACAAAGAGAGCTTCTTATATCTGCACAGGACTGATGCTGTTGTTCTGCTGTGTCATTGTTTACAGAACAGGAGGTATGGGACCAGGAGATAAAAGCCTAATGCAGGACATCCTGACACTGGCTTCACCTTGGAGTTGGATGCAATCACTGATGAGCGTCTCACTGAAGAGGTGTCAGAAGAGTAAGAGTGGCATTTGATGACCTGCCAGAGAATTCATGACAGGTACAACACTGTGTCTGTGTACAGTGCAACTTCACTTCTTTAACCATTTACTGGTGTTAGCAAAGGAAGCATAGTTGACAGTTACATATTTTAGGCATTTATATTTTTGTTGCTGTTTTGTTATTTAGTATGAGAACATATTCATTGCAATAAAGTAAAGTACGATATTGCTTGAGAGATTAGAATGCTGAACACATCACTGAACATACACATAATATATACTCTTTTAAGAAATACTTACTTATAAGTAATTTACTGTCTTCAGCTACTGTGCCCATTGTGAGAGAGCACCTGTACATTTTCCACATTTTTTAGATTTTTTCTCCAGAGAGATCCTTTGAAGCCTGCATCTGCTTTTAGTTAGAAATATATCAAAAACTGACAGACTATTTTTTATTTTATTATTTATATTTTAATTGGATATTAGGGTAGTAAAGCAATGAGTGAATGCAAAATATTCCAATGTAATAATAGACTTGTGTACACATTTTAAGTAGTCCGTGCATCGTCACAAAGTGTAAATTGATTCTTTCTAGAAATTAAATATTGAATGCAGCAGGAAGTGCCATGTCCTTCAGTTTGGCTACTGATTCGGGAGTACAAATGGACAAGGATGAGAGAAATCAATGTATTTCCTGGAATTATGAATAGTGTTCTTTAAAAAAAGACAAAACAAAGAAAAAAACAGGGAAAGATAGGGAATAGCAGGAAGATGCACTTTCCTTTTGACAGCTAATGTAATATAATTAAAATTACAGACTGCATTTAGATTCTAGTTAAATCACGTTTTATTGACACATTTTTCCCACTATTCTCTTGTGGTAGGAGAGATTGCCACCAATGGATAACGCGGCTGGAGCTGAAGCATCCTTCTTATCACTAAGGGCAACAATGGACAATCCACATTGGCCAAGCACAACAACACAGTCCTGAGTGAATGACCAAACACAATGTTGCTTCAATTCTTTTTTTTTTTTTTTTGCACAAAATGAGATGGTACAATTTACATTTGATTACAACCAACTCAAACATTAGTCGCCAAACATTAAGTGAAATTTTGAAGAAAAATCACGAAAGCAGCACATGCTTTGTTACTGCAAATAGGTCAGAATATTGCCATGTTATGTATTCCATATGTACTTCGCAGCTGTGCTTTGGGTATGAAGCAGTTGTGATCCCAAGAGATGTAAACATTACTTGCACAGTCATCATATGAAACATGCATATATTTACAACAGTCTAAACTAAAAAAAAAAGGAATCTAGATACATTGTATTTGAAGATTTAATGTAAAATTGCTCTTACCTGACAGAGTATCAGAAGACATACTTTCTCGCTGCTGCATCTTGAGTATTGACTCCACTGTGCGCCTATAGTAATAGTATGACCATTATGTAGTGGGCACACACCCCCTTCACTGTACGTTGTGGTGACAAGGTCCTAGTCGTAGCAGCTTGAGGAGTGGACTCAAGGTAGGGCAAGAAAATGAGCTTGCCGTGTTATCTAACCTAGTGTCACCAGTGTTTTTCATGTTCCCCTTTTGCAGAGTTGAGCGTTCAGCAGCAGCGCCTGGCAGCCAGCACATGTACTGTACTGCAGATGGAGATTGATGAGAGTCTGAGGCGGAGGGGGGCGGAGCCATAGAAAGGATTCTAGGAGGCTGAAAAGGAAAGGAGGGAGGAGCTGGGAGGAGGGACAGCAGAGAGGCAATCACCTTTATAGGCTTACTGGTTTGGGCAGCGTGCTATTACTCACCAGCACCTCCCCTCCCCCGGTGAGTACAACGCACAGACTAAACCACTTAAAGGCTTACAAGAACCGCAGCATCCAGTTGTGAGTGTGAAAGGGGTCTGGTGCTCAGGGAGATGTCTTCATGTGAGGTCACAGCATCACGCACAAAGCTGTCAAAGCATGTCGAGAATAATTAGAGAGGACCTGGCCTCATATACTCTTAGCCTCTCTATATATAAACCAGAACTTCACTCTTCTTTTAATATTACATAAGCCATGATATGTATTTTTTTTTTAAATAATGTACAATGCATATTTTTTGTCATAGAGGAGTGAAGACATTATGTTGTAGTATGCAAGCATTAAAATAAAAATATAACCAATAGATAATAATAAGTATGAAGATATAAAATACATTTGTGTGTATGTCATTTGTACTGTTCTGTAGACATGCCTGTGTATCTCCAGCAGCTTGAAGTATATCAAACAAGACTAGCTGTACATAGCCTTCAAAATGTTGCATAATTTGTCAACTTGTCTTTGTTTTTTTGTTTTTTTGTCTCCTACAGTAGCTACAGATGTGCAAGGACAACACAGAAAGAGCTCACAACTAAAACTGGCTCCAGGCATATGTTTGCATTAGTGAACAATAATCTCTGTGTTGTCCTTGTTAATATAAAACTTTAACATTTATTATATTTGCTTTGTAAATATTGCGGCAGTATTTCATTCTGGAAAATTCACATATGTTACTCTATTTGGAGCAAAGTGTTTGTGTATAGAACGTCTGTCATTATCCCTCATTTATTAAACAGCTCTGTGGGAGTGAGTTATCAGTCTGCTTTCTAACAGCTTATTCTTAATTATCCTGTCCCCAACTCCGTATCCCAGGGAGAGTTTAATGACACACAGGAAAAACAAGCCTGCCGCCTGTCTTTGTTTGCACAAACCAGATTATATTGATTTGTTAAGTAACTGGATCTTGTATATTCACTAATAAAACAGATTATTACACTGTCGGCTGAGCAAAATAATAAAATTGTTCCTTTTTAGCTGGGTGGGAGGCTGGAGCAAAGCATGAGGCATTATACATTTTGTGTCCTTTTCCATTTGGCCTTCCCTTGACACAGCAAGTCATCTATGCACTGACTTTTAGAGGCTCTTGCTGCAAACACTTCACACTAAAAATTATTTATTTACAACTACAAATATTTTATGTTATGTTATCTGTTTTTAATGCTCTCTCTCTCTAACTGTGAGCATGAGTCATACTTCAAAACGTTTTTATTTGATTATTTTTTTAAGTTAAGGTAATACCACCATCTAGTGAACAGCTGGGTAAACTGCATGTTGTGTACCTGAAAGAGCATTTCAGTGATGCACATTTGTCTGCTTTTCTGATTCTTATTCTCTAATTTAAACAGAAGACACCTATCTTTACTTCACTGTTTTGACATTAACTTGCACAACTGTTCACCATGCATTGTGGACTTCCTGTCAGAGAAAGCAGGATTATTATGGTTCATCCATGTCGGCAGTTCCATTGTTGCTCCTTGATGCCGGAAACACTTTGTGCAGACCAGGGCTTTTTGCAGGCATGCCATCCTAAAGCATCCACTGCAACATTCAGCATATCATAAACGGTGCTTTTGCCATATGGGAAAAGTAGAGTAAATAAGTTATCAAAAATATAAAGTAGGCAACAACATCAATTCATTTGACTTCATGTATTCTTGGAAGTACTGACAAGCATTATTTGCAGTTTTTCATACCATTAAAGATGATAGTAGCTGTTTTTCTTTGTTTTGTTTTGTCTTTTTTTGTTTTTTAGAAAGAATAACTTCTGTACAGTATGACGCTGGAGTTATATAAGATGGTGATAAAACATTCATGAAAAAAAAAAATCACACAGCTTTTAGTGGCTCTTTGATATTATTTATTTAAAGTATACAGTTTGATGTAAGAACTTTACACAATAATATGCATATGAAAAAATTAGATAATGTGGGGAAGAGAAGTTTAAAAATTGACTTTTTATAACGCCTATACTCTGGACTTGTAAGAAAGAATGTTGTAGTTGTATTAGTCTGTAGTGTTTGAGGTTGAATGAATTATTTTTTCTGTTCTGTTCTTTTTGTTTTTACTTTTTGACAGTTTTGGCAATATCTTAAAAGGCCATTAGAGTTAAAACAGTGCAAAACATTCAGCAAATACAGTACATAAATAAGGCATTATTTGTTTATATATTTGCTTCTTCAAGCTGCCTCAAAACATGTTGGTTAATTTAAAACTACTTAGTTTTGTTTGTTACTTCCTGGTTAATGTTTGATGAAGAGCAGTTGTCTATATCCTGTTTACTGAAAATGACTTTGAGTTAATGATAAATCAATGTTCTGGAATCACTTCATCCATCCAGTTCAGGTATTCCAGGTTGCCATCCTCCACGAGAAAACTGAGGACTTCTGGGGCTGCGTATGGGTGGACAGACCTTGAAGAAAGCCACACAGCCACATTATTCTTTCACTGCCTGACAGGGTATAGCTATTGTTTATAATGAATTGGACATGACTCATTTTGAGCTCCTCGTCCTGACTGTGCAAACTCACAGACAGTACTCAAGAGGGATAGGGTCTTTAAATTAAACCAACCACTAAATGAAGACTTATAACTAAAATCTTGGCTGTATGCTTACATACTAAGTAGATTGCTGTATAGTATGTTGGCCTTGGATAACACTGCAGTGTGTACTGTCTATGCTCCACAGCACAGACAGCAAATAAATAACTGATTTATTTAAAAAATTCATATTCTTATAGTTCTCATTCTGTAATTATTGTTTGTATAAATACAAAATAATCTATAGTCTTTCATGAGATATGTAGTACATAGTTTAAAGTCTAAGTCTTGATAAATGCTGTTTACTATACTAAATACTAAATATACTAAGTACTAAATACTGTCAGAACGCTTTCCTTGGACAACAATAAATTACATATTATTACCTCACATATTCCAAGACATGTTGAATCCTGGAAGTTTTTGTTTTTACAAGCTGTAACAAAAATTACATATTAGTGAATATCAGCTGTTTGGAGGCAAAACAGGCATTAATCTTGAAAGAATCTACCATAAGAATTTCACTGGTGTCACGAATTTCATCTTTCCATATGTACCTGGCAAAAAAAGCACACAGAAGGGGATTAGACTGCCTCTCTAGGAATAGGTGGAGGTACTGGACAATATATGCTAGTTTCTATTTGATTATAAGCTACAACCGTGGGGTTAGCAGGTACGACAGAGTGGTTTCTATTCAGCTGGGCTCCTCGCCATGGCCTATTAGTTTTGTTCCCTTTGTGATTATGCATTAACACGAGAGGTTAATCCATGCAAATACACAGCTCAAAACTGCCTTTTATGTTCTAATGATAAGAATAAATCGACAGAGCAATCAGAGGCAACCCATTTACTGTTGTAGTTGCCTTGGTAACCTATGGACGTAGCATGTTTATATAGGCTATCTGTCAAAGTATGTCAAGAACAATTTTTGTATGGTGGGCACTTATGGTCAGACTGGCTTAAGTGTGCATTGTGTTCTTTGTAAAGCAATAATTACATTGTAGATGTCCTTGTGAGAATGTTAATACTGGCAGCTAGCCTCTTCTCCATGATGGCTCTAGAGAAAAGGACAAAAGCGATTGAACAGTGAACTGAAAAGAAAAAGGTGCAGAAAAATAATTTGATGATAGTTGCATGAGTCCTGTCTTAATGTAAAACCACTACGCTGATAATGCAGAAACACAGAGCAAACTTTGCTTTCCACAGTGATGCTAATGTTATTAAATGTATTATCTGTGACACCCCTATCCTCAAGCACAAACTCTTGGGTAAAAGATTTGCATATCTGGCAACCTCAGTGCGGCCGTGTCTTGACACAGTAAATAGATAGATAGAGCTCATTTGCATGCAGTTAAAATGCCAACAAAAGGGGTGAGAGCGGAGATTTAGTATCCTTACAACTTTTTACAACTTTACAAAATAGTTGCTCTACTCTTGGCAGAAACACCCAAACCTTTAGTTGTGATTTATTTTTCTTTTTTACATTTTCAAGATGAAGTCTAATATGTTTGCATACATACTTTTAAGTAAAAATAATTAAAAAACCCAATTCTAAAACACCATGGATGATGTTATCCAGTGGATCAAATGAGTAAATGTGCTATGTAAAAATAACAAATTATTTCCAGATAAGACACACTTTATTGTCTTGAACACAAAGTGCATAGACATTAAAAAGACAGATATAGAGAGATAACAGAATAAAAACAAAACATTTATGTATTACAGTCACCTGTACAATCAGGCCCCTGCCACAGCAAAAGGAACAATCAGTTTGGCTTTGTGAGTATTACCTGCCAATATCCTTGGCCGTCTGCTCGGTTGGGCTGTTAATAATAAGGACAGAGTAGTGGCCTGGTAGATAGTTTCCTGTGAAGACTGAATGAAGTCGCACCCCAATGGACCACAGGCAGGGATAGAGACTCATGAGCAGAACAAGGAGCTTCACAAAAAGAAAAAAAGGGCAGTGACCTCAAATAGACAACATTGTTTCTGCTGTCAACTATAATGAATAGTTAATAATATGTTTACTGTTGAAATGACAAGAAAAGCTATTTAATGAATTTGCCAAAAGGACCACCATGTTGTGACTGGACCGGGTCATATTTTTATTATCCTCTTACTATTTGTCGCTGTCTGGCACAGATAAATGACGGATGAAGACAGTGATCAAATTCTAATCTGTCCTACTTCTGCAGAACACGACAGCAATTGCAAATCCTGTTCAAATACAATGGATTTTGGTTAGTTACAAAAAAAGACCTTGTGAGAACTACAGACTGGCGTCCTTTGAAGTTTTAGTTGAAACTTTAAAAATGTTTGGTTATGTCATAATAACATAACCAATCTAACCCTTAGAGAACCACAGTCTGACATTTTTGAACGCCCCTTATTATTAGCTGGGTCCGTTTTCCTGTGTCCTGCGGTTTTGACAAGTTTTTATTTTATTAAAAAATAATAATAATAATTATAGCCTTACCAAGCATGTCACAGAAAGTACAGACCGAAGCGAGGAGCAAAGGAAAACGTCTTTATGCCAACGTTGGAACAAGCACTCCATCCTGTGAGTGGTGTCAAAAGTCATCCCTGGTGATGTCAATGAAGAGGCATTCTGTGCTCAACTTTCTCCAAAGAGCGCTGGATGCCTAGAAGACACATTAGTCTCTTTTGCGTCCGAACCAGTTAAAACACACAGGGCTATTATTTTCTAGTCCCTGTACCTCCCCAGCCGGTGTTTTTAGTCAGGTAGGCCTAGGGCTTCGGGTGACTAGTCCAAAGCGATGATAAAGGTCCACGCGTTACAATTGGCGGTTACATGGGCCTTTGACACGCGGGCGACCAATCACAGAAGAGTGTCGGCTCTACGTCCCGCCCCCGCGCTTGGATCATAATCGGCTTTGAAACAGTCCGCTGTCCCCACAGCCAAAGCATATCTCTGAAGTCTGTGGTCAAAATTCAAAAGCGCTATTGACCGACAAACACAGGATCTGACGCCACACACTTTATTATTTACTAACGTATGAATAGACCTCTACCTATATATATTTTTTTTGCCTCAGCTTCACTTTTCTGTTGTAATAGGTGATAGACCAACTTCGTGTCAAGTTCTGTTTTTTTCAGCTGTGTTAAATTTCCTTTGTGGATAGTGGAACTTCAAGAGAGAAATCTAGACCAGTAGCTGAAGTTTGCATGAGTCAACCTGTAGCCAAATCATATATTTTCCCCAGCCTATAAAATGAACATGATTTAGGACAGTAATACCCTATGTTTTGGCTATTGCACCCTGGAAAGCCCTAAAACCTCCAAAGGGATTTAGGCAATCTAAAGTAAAAAATAATAATAATATATGAAATATATATATTGCCTAATTTCACTGTACTTCTGATGTTTGTTAAAGTAACTTTTTATGTAAGACAAATTGACCTTAGCGGGTGAATTTCTGCCAAATATCCACGTGGGGGAGTTGTGGATTCATACATCATGACCTGCTCCATTTTGATGGGTTGAGACCAAATGAAATGACGAGGGCTCATGTTGCTTGTAAAAAAAATAAAATAAAATAAAAAAAAATCTAGCACAACACAATATTGATCAAAATGGAGAATCTCTGATTCATACCCTTCCTGTCTTGGAGTGACCTTTCTCTTGACCGGCACTTTAAGAAACGCGTTTAGTTTTAAGCGCTCATCTGGTCACACACCCTTCATGCACATGACACATCAAGCAGCAAACAAGAATTCCACTGCAAAAGGCTCTAAGCAGCTACGGCGTAAAACCAATTTATTTTCATGGGTTTATGCCGGATTTATATGAGAGCACATCACAGATTTCTTATAGATCAACTAAGGCCCAGATGAAAGAAAAATACAGGGGAGAAAGAGTCAGAAAATACAAGCTTGGTCAGACTGGTAGGGCATTTGAGTTTTTATTAAATTTTTTAAGTGGCTGATTTTAATGCAGCTATTCTTATTCTTGTAAAATTGGCACAGAGCTCGAAACGTGAAAGATGGTACAAAGGAATCTGTCAAACTTTTGATTTTTAAATTGTGTCTAGTTTGTCTAAAAGAAGTATTGAAGGAGTTATGTTAAAGTTTTAGAGCAGATAATTCTGTTAACATTTTTGAGGGGATAGTTGCCAGTGTAGTGCTCAATTGCATGTAATGGAAAAACAGATCTTTTTGTTCAACCCTATACATGAATAAATAAGGGCACTTGGACTATGGAGAGTATGATTTCTCATGGTTTAGCTGCTGCAGTGGAGATGGAAGTAAAGTGCATTGTAAAGGTGAACTATTACATTATTGGAAGGTAGGCCACCTATATGTCTCCACGGAGATTTTATTAATTTGCCTCGAATGCTCCACAGTATATCATTAACTTATTTATCTTGTGTATTCAGTTACAGGCCAGTTAACTGTGAAACTGAACACACACAAAAACACCCTCACTAGGATCATCTGATTGATTTCAACCCTAGAATTACCTATCTCTACTGAACAAGAGGTAAAAAGTTGCTGTTAACTTTAAAACTACCTCTTCATGACATCACAAGGTGGAACAGAACATTTTGATCTTTGTAGACTAATAATGCAGGATTACACCAATATCTGATTACTCAAACAGCACAATGAGGTAACAACATTATAACATGGTTTTAAGATCACAAGAATCATTTTTATGTAATAAAGGACCAGCATGACAGTTAATGGATGGAAATGATGGAAATGTATAAAAATAATGCAATGTTTAATATCAGTATTGTCATGTACATTCTACTTTTACCTGACAATGACCATATCTGCCTGTTCTATTTTATACACTCGTCTAGCTGTGTGGCAGTGACATTACCGGATTGAATGGGAGACTGATGGGCTGTGGAAAGTGGCTGCGGACACTGGTGGACACTCGGAGGTCAGGTGAGTCCTAATGAGAGGGACTGTGATTACCTGCGAAGGAAGAGCCTGTCCCTCCCAAAGAGGTTAATTAAAAAAATGGCCAGGTCCCTATCAAGGAAGTCTCTCCATCTCTGCCCTGAACCCCAGCGACCTCTCCCTCCTCTTGAACAGACGCGCCCATCCATCAGGCCTCTTTCTCTGGCCTGTCTGGCTGGTGCAGAGGCTGTTGAAATCCCACAGTGACTTAAACATAGAGAGGTATCTAGCTGCTGCACTACTTTGACAGACAATAACACACACACACACAAGATGGTGGAGACTGGCAAGACAAGCATGGCTCAAGTCCCGCAGGTAATGAAAGCTCTTCCCGCTCAAGGATCACAAACATCAGATCTTGTCATCTCCCTCTCATTCACTCCTTCTATCTTTTCTGTTGTGGCCCTTCAATGTCAAAACTAGCTTATCACCCAGGCCTATTTATCAAAATATGACCTGTTGTGGGGAATAGTTTTGTCAGTTTGTCAGAGATAAGAAAGTGAATTCAGTGCACCGTATGCCAATATACTGGTCATCATGGGTTTTATGGTAAATCAAATCTTAAAATCTATTCTACTTTTTGACTCCTGCTTGTTCCCTTTTTCTTTTTTTTTGTGTTTTTTGTTAAGTTTTTCTCCTTCATGACACAGCCGCTCACTTATTTTGTGACTGATGTGAACTATGATGTGGAAGTGTGTTGCTCATGGGAGGCAAAGGTGGCATCGATGGTTTGGTTTTTGTTGTTGTTTGGGAGGTGAACACACTCTGCACCATTGTTGCCACCTGAGTTTTTAGAATTTCTGAAGGTAGAAAATAGTTATGTTCATAGTCCTGGAGATGTAATTCAAGTAGTAATAGCAGTAGGCATGGCTGAAGTAAATATATGTACCAAAAATACATATTCATAAATCTGAGAAACTGTGTTCTAGTACATAAAAATGTACAACTACATGGTACTGTAGGCTTCAAACTGCACAAGAAAAGTAGAAGAAAAAAAAAGAGAAAACGCCGATCTTGCGGTGTGCATATGTAGTTTTCCTTCTCTAATGTGTGATATAAATAAATACATATAGTAAAATGCATACACTCATAAAGCTGTTTAAATCCCATGTCACGTATTTACACTAGTATAATCCAACTTGAGTGAAAGGATTCTAAGTATTCAGAAAGCAATACTCTGATTGGGTCATGTAACAGAAATACATTACAGAATACATTTTAATGTATTTAGTATTCTATTAATAAATGCATTTTCACAGTATTCCTCCCAACCTGTATGTGCTTTCTACTTATAAAAAACCTTCTTTTAATCATTTATCCCAGTATTTATTTTAAATATACATCAGGAATAATATTTTGAGTGTAGACAATCTGCATAACCATGAAGATATGAATGACTACAGTAGAAAACCTGCAGCTATTCTGTTCAGATCTGTCATCTCCATTCCCCTTTAGTTCACATAGCCAGGGACAAAGTGTGCAAATGAGGGCACGCTAGTAAGGACAGACTGAGGCAGAGGAAGAAGGGAGGGAAAGATATGAGCAGAGACAGAGAAAGAGAAATACAGCGTTTTGCTTGATTGGCTTTGAAAGTGGACAGATAGCCTGAAGCAGTCTCACAGAAGAAAAGTTAAACATTTTTATGAATCTGCTCTCTTAGTGTTCACCAGCAGCAGCAGCGGGAGGCTTAAATCACGTCACGCCTGATTGGACGAGAGGAAGGAAGTGGTCCAGGAATACCTCAGGGCCACCTCTGCCACTGGCTTCCTCATTATACTCTGCTCACCCGGCCGCCACATCCACATTTGCCGTGCTGACGCAGGTAGACTGGTTCATTCCCGTGCCATTCATAAGCTGAGTGCACCACCTTCACTCAAGGGACACATAATAAGTCTAGACAGAAAAGCTGGAGCGCCCACAGGAAGTAAAGAGGAGAGATAGGGACAAACAAGCAGCACTTCTGATGTTTATAGTACAATAGTTTTGATCTTAATTTACGATACAGAGGCCTTTTTTTGATGAATTGAAGTTTGCTGGTTAGTGTGGTCAGGCTGTTTGATGACCAGTATGAAAATATGTTGTATTGAAAATGTATGAGCTGACAGTCATGGGAATTGGCTGAAATGTAAATTTAAGATGAATCACAGGGTAACATGTTAAATTAATTATACATAATGGACCCATATACTGTATTTTAAACTGTATTTGTACTACTATTGCTACTACTACTTCTACTACTACTACTACTACTACTACTACTACTACTACTACTGCTACTGTGTGGTCTTATACTGTTGGTGATATACGGATATATGGTGATTGATGGACATAGACCTGATATAGACCATTCTAACACTATTCAGGAAAGATCCAACTTTCTATGGATGGTACCAAAAAAGAATTGCAAGTAGTTTTGGACACAGATTATTTTTCTTGACTGGGGTTCCATCTGTTGCTGTACAGAAGTAGTAGCATAGTCAAATTCAAGAACATATTGAAACAGGCAGGAACAGCAAACATATCAGTACTGCAAAATAAATATACCTTCCCTTGAGCGTAGTGCTTCTGTTTAGATGTACATAAGGATCGGTGGGTCTGAACCCCAGACGCTTACCTGCCAGAGAGTGGCATTATGGAAATGTAGGAATCACCATGAAAAGACCAGCCAGAGGCACGCTCAGGGCAGTAGCTCCTAATCAACACTCCAGCTGCCAACTTGCTTATATTTGCCCTATTTACCAGTGCCCCCTGAACCACTTCATCTGATCCCCTCTCCTCCTCCTCTT